AAAAATATTATATGGAATTGAACGAAAATGAAAATTTGCTTGATAATTCAACTACGCTTGTTGGAGAACAATAAAAACACTACACTCAACAAGCCACCAATAAAACTCAACTGCCTAACCTATAACCAAAGTCTCCTTTTAATTTGTTTTAAAAAAAAGCGCTTGACAAACTTGCCCCGTATGCCGAAGTTGCCCCGGTTTCCCCTAATAGTTAAGAAGTTCTGCTTATATAGTTAATTCATATAATTATTATATAAATTCACATATTAAAGAAATGATGTGTTGTATAAATTAATATAATTATAATTAAATTTAATTATATTAATTAACTTTTAATTATATTGTATTGTTTTGAAAGTATATAATTACATAGTTTTTTTCTCAATACAATCTTTGTCCTACATAATTTCATTACAATTCACCTCTGTTAAGTCAACACAAAGGTATCAACTGTAGTACAGTACATTTCATTGCGAACAGTGACACATGAAATGTACTACAGTTGATATCTCTTGTCTCTCTTAATGACACAGTAGAATCTCATTGAGTCTGCTTCCTTGTTTAGTGCTTCTGGGCTTGAAATAAAATCGATTACTAAAATTCAATAGTGTTCATAATTGTGACGTAGTAAAATTGCTTAGAGTTTTACGTTAATGATCTCTTCTGTCTATTCACATTATTTCATAGAAAACACGACAATAATTAGCAGAAGTGACGTTTTTCAGTGGAATATGAGTATAAGCCGCCTAAATCAAGTTGATCAGGTTTGACATGGGGCATTCTATCCCTCAACTTCACCTTTCACCCGTTTTTACCTTCTTCCTCTTTTCATATTCTCGTGTCGCTTCTGACAGGTTCGAATTGTTAAGTAAATCCTAGCCAAACCCCCTACAAATTCGGCCAGGACAATGCTACATTTCAATTTTTACAATTGTTAAAGGTTATTTAAGATGTTATTATCACATTAATTTTATTTCTAATTTTTCAGAAATTAACTCGAGAACAGAAAAACTGCTAATAAAACAGAAACAAACAATACTACAGAACAATGAAGAAAACTTGTATTAGCGACTACCTGTCTCATCTTTTTGAAAAATTGGGAAGAATTATTGCTCGATATCCCTTTTGCTTTATTATTTCATCGACCGTACTATCAGTTTTACTTTCTGTTGGAATATTTCATCTGAAAACCATAGATGACATGGATTATCTTATACTTTCTGACAGGGGAAAAGTGCTGAAAGATAAAGAATTTATTGAAAATACGTTTCCTATGAATACATCCGAGTATTATGACATATTTAGAATGACTCAACGTCCTCGATCGGCAATCCTTTTTGTCCAAAATAAATTAGGACAAAATATGTTGCAAAAAGAAAATTTACTCGAAATTCAAGTCTTAGACAAAATTATAAAAAATATAACTGCTATTGTAAATGGGAGGGTAATAAATTACAGGGATGTTTGTGGAATAGTCAACGAGAAATGCTTTGAAAATCCAATAATAGATGCAATGCCTGAAATGGATGATATCCTTTCTGGTAAGAAGAAATTGAAATTTCCAATAGACATGGATCCGGTCACTTACACCTATCAAATATGGATGATGAATTTGGGTGGAGTAAAATATGACAATGAAGGATACGTGAAAGAAATAGAGGCCATGAGATTAATTTATTCAATTGACGAATCAGATTTGTCTAAAGCAAATTGGATTAAAGAATGGAAGAAAGAATTCCTGTCGAAAGTACAAAATATCAAATTTCATTCAATTGAAGTATATCCATGCTCGTTGCTAGCAACTGAATTAGACTTACAACCACTTTCTGATGAAATTGTGCCACTGATAAGTGTAGCTGTTATTATAGTCACTATATTTTGTATAATGACTTACACGACAAATAATTGGATAAGGAGTAAACCATGGATGGGAATTGCTGCTACGGTTTCTGCAGGTTTAGCAATTACTTCTTCATTTGGATTGATGGGTGCTTGTGGAATTGATAATATATGCTATAATATTACCTTACCGTTTCTAATTTTTGGTAAGTAAAAGTTCAGATATATGTAGTTTAATATATTCATATACCTTGATATATTTAAAGTAATTTCATTTCATTTACAGCTACCGAAATAGATGATGCCTTTGTGATAATAGCGAATTGGAGAATTACCAATGTTAAAGATTCTGTACAAGAACGAATGGCGAAAACCTTTTCAAAATCAGCTCTTTCTATAACTATAACGACTTTAACAAATATTTTATCTTTCTGCATAGCGATGACTGCAGAATTTCCAAGTGTGAGGATATTCTGTTATTATGCTACTGCTTGCGTGTGTTTCACTTATTTCTATCAAATTACGTTCTTCGGAGCTTGCCTAGCTCTTAGTGGATACAGAGAAGAAAGAGGTCTTAATGCATTTACATTTACAGATGTCAAAGGTATGTTCGTACTTTATTTGCATTTATTAAATACTTTACTGCTTATAATATAAATAGTTTGAAAATAGAAAATTAGGTTAAGATATTCGTTTTCTTTTAATTTGAGAAAAAGATGTATTAATATTTTATAAATAAACCCGAAATGTTGCCCATTAGTGGGATATTTCATAAAACCACTGGCGGGTTCGTGCTTCACCACGTGGGATTTTCGGGGTTTCATCATAGAAAGTCTTTGTTTGACCTTGTGTTAAAGATTAGTCCACTAATCTACCTTAAAAATATTTTAAATCTCGTACTATTATATTAATTTATTTTTGGTATGTTAATGTAAATAACAGATTTTGTGGTTGACTACATTGATTACACTTATAAAACTATACTTGTGGAACTCAAAATCATGTATAAACAGTGTTTGTGGCACCCGTGCCATAAAGGCGTGTCATAAACTGTGTTTATACGATTTTGAGTTCCATAGGTATAGTGTTATTGTCTAACCACAAAATACCGTATGAGGATTCGTTTATATCAATAATTAAAGATTATGGCATTTATGGGAATTGGCACACGAGCGAAGCGAGTGGGCCAATTCCCATAAATGCCATAATCTCCTCTACTGTAGACTAATTGCATATTATACTATTAAATGTTATTTTAAACTTTTTATTTTTAGAAAAATCCAACGAGTACAAATCAAAAGAAGAAAATCAATTCATTTTTATGAACTTCTTCAGAGATTATGTGGCTGAATTTATTTCACATCCTATAACTAAAGTTTCTGTTATTTTTCTATACATCGTTAATCTTGGTATGGGTATTTGGGGAGTGACATTTTTAAGAGAAGGAGTAAACCTCTTCGCACTTTATCCAAGTTATTCGAAAATAACGAAAGGATATAAAATAAATTATGAGTACTTTACAGAATTTACGTTTCCTGTACAAATTGTCATCAATAAAACACTAGATTACTCAAAGGAAGAAGTTCAAAAATCGATTGAAAGTTTGATGTTGAAATTTCAATCTCACCCGAATGTCGCTGGATCGGAATTTGATGTGTCCTGGTTAAAATATTACAAAGAATTTCAGAATCATCCAATATCAACATTCACCATGAGGGGTTACGACTTGACAGAAAAACAAGATTTCATCGATGGACTTCGCAACGTGTTTTTGAGAATTGGTGCAGCCAAACAATTTTCATACGATATAATATTTAATCATAATTACACCGAGATTACTCACAGTCGGTTTTTTGTAATGACTAAGAATGTTTTTCATGGAAAAGTTGAGCATAAAGTAATAAATGATCTATGGGAAATTGAAGAAGAAATCGAGTTACCCGTCATTGTTCATTCATATTTTTCTCCATTTGTAGAACAAGGTATCATCATTAAACGAATTACTTTACAAATATTTTGGCTAACAGCTCTGTTAATATTTATTGTTTTTATTGCATTCATTCCTAATGTCACCTGCGCCATAACTGTAGCCATCTGTATTGTTTCCATAATTGTAGAAACTGTTGGATACATGACTTTCTGGAACGTAAATCTCGACATTATTTCCATGATGATTATAATACTTTGTAACGGATTTTGTGTAAATTATCCCACACACATGTGTTACGCTTTTATTACTTCACCACATTCGAAAACAAAAGAAAAGCTGAAGGAATCTCTTTATCACGTTGGTTTTCCTATACTTCAAGGTTCCATCTCAACAATTTTAGTATTGTTAGTATTCCTGTGTAAAGATGTATACATATATACAACATTCGTAAAAATTGTAATTCTTATATCGTTACAAACGTTATTCCACGCTGTATTTGTAATTCCTGTAATTCTTACTATAATATCCTATGCCTTTGAAAAGAAAAATAATGGTAATAATTGTTCTGAAAAAGAATATTACATTGTTGGTAGCATCGAGAGTGCAATGTGAATATTTCTATTTTCAAATATACAGAATGTCTCGTAACTCTGCCGTAAGAGTTATGTTAATCCACGTTTTTTTTTTTTCTATAGATGCTTAATAAAGAGGGACGAACTTAATTTATTGTAATAATGGATATCAACAAACAGCAGGAACTTACCAAAGTGTTTAATAAGCTACATATAGATTTCTGTGTGTAGTTAATGGAAAATCATCAAGAAGTCTATGGATATAAAAGGAATTAATTCATCTATAAAATAGTAAATAAAGATCAAGATCACTCCAATGTTTCAGAATAGGAGTACCAGTATTAGAACCACCATTGTATGTATGAATCATCTGAGTCCACATTATGGTTCCTGCATAACAATACATCAACCATTGTTGTTTATTGTAATTTTTTTACCTTGAAACGTTCAATTGAAAATTGACATTATCATAATATAAAATACGTATTTCCTTTTGTACATCGCGTCTTTTTATGAGGTTTTATTATATTATTATTTAAACTATACACTATATTATTATATGTATATTCAGAATACTACGTTAAGATTTTACCTTATTGGATATTTATGTTTGTAGTAAATTTTTGTATTAGCAAGGAATAAAATTATATTTTATTTTAATGTTTATTTATTTGTTTTAAAAATATATATTTTGGCCAATCGGACTATTTCGGTGTTTAGAAAAGAATAAATGAAAGTTCCTTTAAGTTTCTTTGAATAATTTATAATTTTGCTGCCCATATCATTTCCATATCCAGTTTTAGCTTTTTAACCTTGTTCTCGAGATTAACAATGGACAGACAGACATGTAGACAGATGCCAGTGAAAATTTATAAGTCGTCAAATTTTGAATAATTGCAGCAATGAAAAAGATCCTTCACATAAATATTAAACAGTAAAGAAACTAAAACATAACCCTTGGAAATTCCTTTGTTAGATATAAAATAATTTCAAATAGAGTAACTTACTTTTAGATAATATTTGATAAATATGATAATTGCCATCACAATGTCGTTTCTCACAGACTTATATTTTTACTTTCTCCGCTCTGTTATATATAACAGAGGGAAGTATGGCGATCGGTCAAATGACCCATTAAAATCTTTACATTTATTTAGACTTGGGTCCATTAAACGCTGTGAAGTGCAAAAGATTCGTGGGGTAATTTCTGTTTGTATAGGTGTTAGTGTGTGTGGGGGGAGGCACGATTTTTTTTACCTTCTTTCAAGCTTAATAACTACTATGCTTTTTATAAATTTTGAAATTAGGGAGATATAAATTTTGGTGGTTAAAGGTCGAAGGAGTGGGGAGATAAAAGCAGTCGTGTGTTGTATTTGGAGTAGGGTTGATTTAATGACGATTTTACTCATTATTAGCATTTACAATTTTTAAAAATTCCCATCCCTACTCTGAAAATTAGCCTTTTTACCATTTTATAATAGTTAAAATATAAAATTTTTTAAAAATAAAATATGATAACAGATGGCATCACACATGCATTTTTAAATACTCGTTGCTTGTTTATATTATTCTTACTAATATAATTAATTAATAAATCTCGTATAATAATAATAATTATTACTATTATTGTATTGATCTTAGTGTTAAACGATTTATTTATTAGGCTGCAATTTTTTAAAATAGCAAACCTATAAACTCTGACACTTTAGTCCGTCTGTCTTTTGTTAATGTGGGGAATGACGTTAGACATTTAAAAGTCGAGACAAAGTAATAAAAGACTAGCACGACTCTTTATATAAGACAACGCGGTTTCAGAAGATTTAATAAGGTTTATATTTTATTAATCTTACATAAACATTTATATATTCAAAATTTTAAATATATTATAATTAGTTAATCTTGCTTCTTATTGTGTACTTTCAAAAATTGCATTAATACGTCATTTTTTCATTTCGTCATAATGTTTAAGGCCGATTGTAATGTTTTTAGTGATACAAGCTGATGGCGTAAGAAGTTTAATGTGACTTTTTTCTACTAGAATCTCGGTTAAGAATTTTCAAACTCGAATGAAATAATTTTATACAAATTTACTAAAACTTTTATAATTAGCAAGTAGAAAAGTACCGCGGACTATAAATTATAGTTTCTCTCTTTATCTATTACTAAAGCTATTTGTTGTAAAGAAAAAAGTGCTTTCTCTAAACTAGAGTTTTATTTAATTTATAATAAATCTTTTAGGTATGTCGAATTCTCCTGGATTCTGTATAGGGGAGATCGGGGCAACTTCGGCATGCGGGGCAAGTTTGTCAAGCGCTTTTTTTAAAAAACAAATTAAAAGGAGACTTTGGTTATAGGTTAGGCAGTTGAGTTTTATTGGTGGCTTGTTGAGTGTAGTGTTTTTATTGTTCTCCAACAAGCGTAGTTGAATTATCAAGCAAATTTTCATTTTCGTTCAATTCCATATAATATTTTTTTTCCATTTATATTGAATTGGCAGGTTTTGTTATAATTCCATGATAACGAAAGTTACTTTTCCTGTTAGAAGGATGTAACTTCAACTTATTCACGTGGCCAGATCGTGGCTTGGCATTCTGTTCTCAGGGTTGTACTTAATGTTTCGAAATCATGACTAGCGGGGTAAGATCGGCAACATAAAGCCACATTAGAAGCAAAGGATAAAAATCAAACAGATGATAAATGAAAACATGTTTGCATTTGTTATTCATGTATATATGTCTTTGAACTTGCATTTCGTTGTAATAATATTAAATGGGTGTTGGATTTGTATTTCTTTGTTTTAATAGTGAATTCCAACTTATACATTGTTAATAACATAATTTTATATACGTGCCTATCTTGCCCCATTACTGTTGCCCCTATACCAGGGGCAACTTTAATAAAAATAATTAAAATAATTACAACTTTACAAAAAGAGAGAAGTTGCCGATCTTGCCCCTATACCCGGGGCAACTTCGTCAATTTCTCTCTTCTTGTAAAGTTGTAATTATTTTAATTATTTTTATTTCCAAACTGATTTTAACCAGTTCTATAGTAAGGTAACATTCCAATAGACAATATGCAAAGCTTTTTTTTCAGTTTACAGTAGTATTTATTACACAAAATTTAAGTAAAGCTTAACATGCCGATCTTGCCCCGATCTCCCCTACCTAGAAGATGCCACTTATGTACTGTACACCCATTTCACCATACCAAACGATTAGAGTCTTTCTCGAGATTGTCTTGGTCTTCCACATTCTCTCCACCCCTCACAATATGGACACCTCTTTCTCTCTTTTATCAAACCTCGTAAATAATTTCGGAACCCCACAGAAACATTGGCCTTTTACTTTTTTCTTCCTCTTTCTTTCTTTCCAGAAATTTTATCTTCGACGATAGTTTATACAAAATTATCATGCGTAATAATATGACCTATAAATTTACTTTCTGTTTCCTTATTTTCTGAATCTCTATTCACTGTACAAGTTTGTACTTCTGTTGATTCAGCTAAAAACTTTACATTGTGTGTATTTTACTCGGATACATTTAATAAGACTTTATTAATTTAAAAAAAAAATGGTTTATCTGTGATCAAATACGATATGCAATTAAACGACCGTGAAATTTGGAAATACAAACTGAACCACGTGTTCCTACTAGAGAGACGTGGTGACGACGAAATCTCATGACAGCCATAGCCAATTATAGCGATTAATCGTTCCTGTTTTCATATACAGTGGTACCTCAGGATACGAAATTAATCCGTTCCGAAACTGAGATCGTATCATGAAAATGTCGTAAGGTGAATCATTTTTCCCCATACGATTACACGTAAAACCAAATAATTCGTTCCAACGCGAAAAACATACTCAAATTAAAGCCAAGTAATACATTAAAAAAATAACTGTAGTAAGAAAAACAAATGAAAAATGCGAACTAATGTAACGTCGTATGGTGAGTTTTTGTTCGTATCGTGGAGCAAAAATATGTTCGAATTTCATGTCGTATCCTGAAAATTTCGTATGCTGGGGCGTTCGT